ATATAAGCTGGGATGATTTGGGATCTGGGTTCACATGTGAGAACATTTCACGGTAAGATTCTTACTTTTGTCGAAGGGTACTGTATAGACTTGGGGTATTTTCGTCATAGGCTTTTCCGGATTAAATTCGAGAGCTGATTTACATCTCTGGGTTGAAATCAATGCGCTTCAGCAGAATAACTACTTAACTAGTTCTCACATTCGGCCGGCAAGCAAAGGCATTGAAGCATTGGTTTCCAAAGCACAAAAAGTCATATTAGAAAGTGGTGTTTATACCAGAAAGTACATGGGGACTCCTGGGAAACCCGCCTATGGACCAAACACGCGATTGCCCTTCGCAGTGGTACAAAATCGATGAAACACATGTATGGGATATGTATGCGCGTTTGCAGTATATGAAATAGGTCAGTGCGCCCGATCTAGAAAATATCCTATGACCTACCTCGGGTCCAGATATCAAATGCCAACACCGGGCCAGTGGCGCAGATAAGGCCCAAACTTTCTACTATAAAATAGCGGGGAGTTGTTCATCAGCACTTTTAACGACCGCCACCGGGTTTCTATAGCACGACAGCCAGATATGTGTTTCCCTGCTGGGACATGCTGCCGTATCTTAATCATTCGTATTCCCCCTAGAACCAGATTTAACCTACTGTGATACTGGTATACAGGGGAAGGTCGACGGAGTGATTGAGACGTCGTTGCTATTGCCCACTGACCTTTGGAACCTGTTGCTAGTTAATTCTCCAAGCCGCCCCTAGTATATATGAACCGGTTAGCAGTGTTGTAATGGAAAGATGGATTCCCTCTGCATTACGAAGCAAAATCAGTATCGTAGGCGTGGCTAATTAGGATATGTCCCCGTCAAAAGGGGTTACATTGTCCGACCGCAGTACGAGGAAGAACTCTTATCGAGGCAGCTTTCCTACCCCATCTTGGAAGATTTACTCTAACAAACTGGATGCCCTGACTTAGAATACCAGTCGTTTGCCACTTACACGTTCACCTATTCGATAAGTTAACTTTACTCTTATGTGACAATGATTAGCTCTGAGCTTGTTTCTCAAGACCATCAAGTGGAATCGCTCGGGATTTTAATACTCAAGTTATCTTTAACTGTGAGTAGTCGGTAGATCAACAAGGCTGAGACCGATTCGAGCAGTTGGTCGTCATATCGCACTAAAATTCAGTGATTCTTATTGGCTGTGTTAATGGATAAATAAGTGAGTCACAGGGCGATTCTGCCACTGTAACGATCCTGCTGAATTTGTGATGTCCTTAATGGACAAATAACATGTCTGATAGACTTTGCTGAGTCAGTAATTTTGCAAGTCATAGTGGACTCCTTCTAGATATACAGGAAACCTACGGACATTTTTGGAACTGTTAGCAAAGGAACGTTGGGCAGAAGACAGACCTGAATCGCCGACGTCCTGATTGTTTCCGGGGCTTCTGCCAAAGGTTTATACGCCATGCCATGCGCAGTGACGATGGTATTTAATGCTATCGGTTTATTAAGCTTGGAGAAAGTGGTTTTATTTGAAATCGCTTGCTGGAACATGTTATTTCTGTCTGAGACGGGATTTAACGGGATGATCAGAAGTTCAAGGCAAACCTTAGAAGTAAATGGTTAGTCGAGATGCATAACGTTACTTCCCAGCTATCCTCCCAGTAGTATTTGACGCCCTTTGTCCGAAGAATGGTCAGTTTTTGTAAACGACGACTGGTGTGTGTGCCTAGCACGTAGGATTCTGCCCAACCCAAAGATGATCACGGCCAATGAACATTCAGGCACATTAAGGACGCGACATACTGCGCTGGGAAACCTTTTTCCGCAGCTGGGTGAGAGGTTCTATTGACTGAAACTCTTGAAGAGTTTTGCCACCCGCAGATCGCAATGGTGTTAATTTACGCATCGAGACTTCACTCTAGCGAGAGGTCTTTGTCGGCTTCGACCGTAATCCAAAGGTAATGATACACAGTTCCGCCCGCAGGATAGATTGGTTCATAACACGCGTTAATCTGCCCACGCGCGGCCCATGACTACTGCCCCACATAAGGACGTAGTGGTATGCCTGGACGTAAAAAACCGACAATGCTGTCCAACTTTCTTGTTCAATGCCAACTGAATCAAGGTCACGCAACTTCGCAAGGACTGCTTTCCTACTCAATGACCTGAAGACCCTTGTCCAACTTCCCCGCGCATACATACACAAACGTGTCCAAATAGTCGCGGCTGCCTAAGGGCCACTTGAACACACCACCCTTCGACCAACACCGCATAGGCCACTATGTACGACACCTCCTCGGGCAATACAACACATCAATGGTACACTACACACACGGGCACGACTGGACGCAGTCAACACTAGCCCTTGTTTCGTCAGCGGCCACAGCCGCCTGAGACATAAACTAGGAGTTCTGTGCACAATAAATCCTTCCCACAACTGTCTTCGCCATTTCCCAAAAAAATTCGGATTCAATTTGATAACTGTAGTTCTCCCAAGCATCTTCCCAACCAGTGAAGTTCTCAGGCCGAGCCAACCACTGCGCTCAATCCCAGCACCAGATGACTAACAGGTTCGAACCGTCATGTAGTTAATTGCAGGGGAAGAGGGCTTAAGGCCAACACTAGGGAATCCAATACTCAGGTGACTTCAGCGCATTCATTACGAAGAAATATGACGCATTAAATATATCAGGGGCCTTAATAGTCATGACATGGAAGGTCGTCAGCCGATGGAGCACATCGGTCCTTCTAGTAGCCGAGTCAAGCGGCAATGGGTCTTTCTTTTAACCTGGTCGGCATCTCACGTACGCGAGATACGACCCGGCCTCTGTAAATCTTGGTTCATTCTGTGGGGCGCAGGTCGCGTGTAGCCTGCGTCGACGGTATGTTCATTCGTATAGGTCACGGTGTCCTAACCCGCCCCCGTCGCCTTGAAAATCCCTTGCGGCAGATACTACGCAAGTATGTACCAATATAGACTACTCCATGCGCAAGTCACCGTCCTGCGTCCATTTCACCGTAGAACACAACCAGCGTGGAGGCTAAACGGCTGTCTAAACGTTGGTCTAAACAAGTTTTGGATTGTACTCATATCACTTAAAGTATTACGTTTAATTCTGTATAAGAAAAAAAAA